GGTGGGCGGTGGTGAAGGCTTTTCCGGGATTAATTCTTTGGCGTTGTTGTATAGCCGCTTGGCTTCCGCCGGGCGCAGCTTGCGCGCTCGGCCCTGCTGTGTGCCATTGGAGTGAAAGGGCCCCCCGACGAGTCGGCCCGCTCGCTCATGCAACCGCCCCCGATTGTCGGTGCAACAGCTTAAATAACGAACGAAACAGGCCGCGGGGAAGTCCTGCGCTGCGCTCCAAATCCACACTACGCCGCCCTCCTGCATTCTGTTGTGCATAAACATGAAGGATTTTAAACAGCCATAAGGTTATGCACTATTGCATGCATAATTATGTACAGGTCGTGCATACACTGCAAAAAATTAGAGTCTGATACGGAACGATCTACAGCGTTACTGTAGATGCCACTCTGAGCCACTGCACCTAGGGTACAGAACGCGGAGTGCTGTAGCACCGGAAAGCCCAGGTTTTTTACACGGTACAGTGTACGAAGACGGCTCCACTGTAGACAGTTTTGTCCGCTTTTGCCTGTACAGTGGTCCTGTACATTGCTCCCTGTACCAAATTTTCACCATTAAAACTACAGCGATGCTGTTATTTGAATAACAGATGTTCCTGGGAAATGAATTAGCCGCATTACCTCCGTAAAAAAAATTTGCAGTGTAGGCCCAGTTATGTTGTACATTATTCATAAAAAGTGTGCATATGGCTGTTCAACATTCTACATGTTTAAGCGCGAAAAATGCATAAGGAGTTGGTGTGTCGACAAACAAAAATAAACGCCCTCATCTATTTGTTTTATTTTATTTTGTTGTTGTTTTACGACAGATAATTGTAGTAAAAGTTGTCCTGTCAGTTTGGTCCTGGAAGCGGTGGTGGCGCGGCGCCCTGACAGCTTCGCGGCGGCCGGAACAACGAAAGTTACTAAAAAATGAAAGCAGAGGTGGGGGCTCGTGGCGGGTGGGGGTGTCGGGCTGGGCGGGTTAATAAACGAAATGGCATGAAAGTCGAGTCGTGATCGATACGTCTCGGCAACGCAGCTAGCGCAGCGGTATCGAGAACCGTCGTCTCCGATTGGCCCGTGGCTTCGCCAGGCTTCGCCGCCGCCGCAGCGTCGGGGCATGTTACGTTGACATGCGGGTGGGCGCGGCGTGACGTCACGTCACGTGACTCGCACTCGTCAAAGATTCACAACGTTACCCGAGCGGCGGGGCCGTGTTGTTGGGGATTGTGTGTGTGAGCCGGAGGAAGGTGAGCGCGCGGTGCAAACGTGTTTTTGTTTTTGTAAACTTTCCCACCTCTACTACATGGGGGTGTCGTGGACGGCTCACCCCAAAGTTTAGGCGTGAATGCGATAAAAGTCCCCCTGCTCCTAATGAGATTAAAAATTAAACGGGTTCAAACTCTACCTTTTTGTTAACTGATTATAAATTGGTAGGAAGCAGCTTCTGTACTCTTTGAGTTCAAGGCAATGTCATGGCTCAACTGCAGCAAGCAGGAAAAATTTCTTTGCGACGCATGTTTCAAAAATCGGTCTAGTTTTATTATTAATTTTCTTGGATCAAGAACACTGTGCTTGATCTTTAATGCAGTCAAGAACATTTGCTATGATCCAAGTCAATTTTTACTTGGATCAAGGCAAATGTTC